TTTTTTTTCCCCGTTGAATAAAAGAGCTCTTGATGACAATAGATTTGTGGCTGTTGTCCAGGAAGGAAGAATTTTTGATTTTTTCAGTTCCATTGTTTTTCAATGGGAGATTCAATTTTTTTTCTCTTTTTAGTTTTGGTGGTTTGACTTTTATTGTAAACTAATAATAAGAATGAGTAAGGCACGTGTCTGGCTAGTTGCACTTGGAAAAAGAGGCTTTTTGCATTTCTAGACATTTGTCGTGAAACTTTGATTGGTTTTTTCAAAAAGCACCCTCGATGAAAGTAAAATATGTGACAAGGACGAAATTTAGCTATTGCAAGATGTTGTTACCTCATTTCTTTCCTATATCATCTGAACCTTAAAAGAGTTGTAAGACAGTTGCTACTATGCGGCGACTGACGGTTGTCGGATTGCTCATTGTTTTTTGCATGATTTTTGTCTTAAGGATCTGCTTTGGCAGTACTTTTTTTTTTTTTGAAGATAATTTTGATCGCTATAAAATAAGGGAAGTACTTGAAAAGACGAATAATAAAGGTTGATGCTACCTTTATGGCTTCATAGCTTTTCCTAATCTTAACTTATAGTTGTGTGCATTTGCTGTTATAATAGCGGAAGCAAGTAGAACTATTCATTTTTACCGAAGTAACATAAGTGTCGAAACTACGGAGCCGATATTTCAAATGTTTTGTTGTGTTCCAGCAACCTAGGTGAATGAAAAATAATTGCGTAAATAATGTTTAGACTTCTTTTGAGTCTTGATGATCGGCTTTGATATGATGAGTGAGATCTTCATGGGTAAACAACAGAAAGTTGAAATAATCGTTCGAGCCGTTCTACGATCGTTTTCTGGTATTTTTTTCTGACTTTCTGTAGTGATAACTTTATTTTTACTATAGCTAATTACACTTACTCTTGCGGTCTTTCATGGGTTTTCTTTTTAAAAAAACCAAAAATATTTTTAAAAAGTATTTTAGTTTTTATCTGAGCATTGTAAGCAGCGCTTATGAGGTTTCTTGAATTTAGGAGGTGGTTTTCTGACAGTTAGTTGAAAGACTGTTTGGCTAGAAAGCATTTTTTCCATCATTTAGTCATTTAGTTACTTGTAGTAACGAGTCTTTTACGTTGCTGCGCGCAGACAGGTACTGTAACAACTGGAGTCGCTTTGTGAACGTACAAAGTTTGCATTTGCTTCACACGTTGTAATATTGTAGAAATAATGATTATTCTACTGTTGCTTTTGTTAATGCCGTTGTTTGCAAAACCTTTGATGTTTTTGTCACACGCAGGTGTATGCAAAGTATGATTTCGTTTGAAATGAACATTGTGTATTTTAGATGCTTGCTGGTTTTGAGGAGTGAACTATGTCAGGCTTTATAGCCAAGAAAATTAGAAAGGTGTTTTAGGTAGTTTTTTTGAAACAGTTTTGGAACTAAGCAATTGATTCTATTGATTGTGGTTGTTTTGTGCGAGTGTGTGGACCTTTGACCGTTAAGATGTTCGGACAAATTTTTCAAAAAGTCATTTTTGTTGTTCGCCTTCTGGTGAAGTTTTTGGTTTGATTTAAATAAGTCCTCACCAATGCTTGTTAAAAGCGTCAGAAGTGTTTGTTATGCTTTTGTGTCGTAAGTATTCATCCATGGTGGGATCTTGAATATATAAGCCTCATGATGCATATTATGGGCTTCTAAATTTTAAACGAACTTTTTTTTTGAGAAAATGAGGCGTTTAAAAGTATTAAAAGCCTGTTTCTTATTTAAGAAAGTGAAAGATGGGTGAGAAGAGTGACTGTATGTTATTTCGATGTTTCGTTTTTATGGTCGGTAACTGTAAGGGTTTATACTGCGCTTAAACATTTTGTTTCGTGATTTGCGCTCAGAATGTAGTATTTTTCCGTTTATTATACGTAATGGGTTTGTTAAATGTTTAAATGGCGTAAGTGTTGAGTAACGGAAGTTTTTATGTTTACGTATTTGATGAACTGAAATTGGTAACGGATCATTGAATATCATTAGTGCTTACAGGTATGATTTTAATTAGGAAGTTTCAACTACTGCTGGCGTTTTGCTGGATTGTTGCAGTTATTAGCGAAAGTATGTTCTTTTTTTCTTTCTGATTTTCGGAAATATTATTTAGTACTTTGGGTTTTCAGCTTGCTCTTCGTAATTATCAAACATTAATTGTTATCATTCTTTTTGGGTATTAGTGGTAAAAATTATTCTAATTAGTAGAAAATGGGTATGAAACAAAGTGGGTTTACCTGTTGGTAGTGTGGAGTTTCCACTCTGTTAGTGGTCAAATTGATACAAATACTTATTTCGTGGTTGTAAGTGTTAGTCAACAGGAGATTTACTTCATTTAAATTTTTAAAGCAAATATTTACAACAATAATAAACCGAAAGCAAAGGATTGTTTGTAATTTTTTTCGGGTAAATTGAAGTTTGAATTGCTTGAAATTCCTGGAAGGGTATTAATTAATGGAGGTTAGGTCTGAAAGTATGGTAAATAAAGCAGGGAATAGCAATGTAGTTTCTCATTTGTCTTTATCATATTTGGCATAGGTCGTTTTTGAGCCTTCAAAAGAGGCTTTTATGAAGGTTGCCACACTTCCATTGTCTAGTGAAGTATCTGCTCCTTGTGGTTCCGTGCTGTTTTTGGCTAGTATAGGATACCAGCAAATATGAAGCTCTTATCGCTCTCGGGATTGAGTATACTGATATCATGCAATTTATAGCAAAACTCTGGTATTTTTCAGAGATCCCGAGGCATCTGTTATCCTTACTAATATTTGGCAAAAACTTTTAATGTTTTTTTAAAATTGATGAAGATTTACTGGTGTAACCAGTTGTTTCTTAAAGTAGCTATAGTGCTTCTGCTTTTTTTCATCAAAAAGGATAAAAAAGTTGGAAGGAATCAGAAACTAGTTGCCGGAACATGAGTAAGCTTAAGATAACTAAGTCAGCTGAGTTCGATCTTGTTATTGTTTAGCTTTAAATCAGATTTGTTTTGTTTGCATCTGCTTATGTATGTTGTGTTTTATACATTAATTTTTTCAGTTGATCATGCTGGACAGCGTACTTTACTACAAGTAAATGATAAAGCAAATCTCAATGTGCCGCTTCAAGCTAACCAAATGTATGTTCGTTTTTTTGAGACTAGATAGGAATTACGCTTGTTTTATTCTATTTTTTCTTCACTTTCATTTATTGCTTACTTACATATTCAAACTTCAGTTGGTAAAGCCGCCTGTGTAAGGTTGCAAGAACAAAAAGCAACCGGAGCAGATTAGATTAAGATAAAATATAATACAGGGTAGACATGAATATTAGAATATGGAAATATTAAAAAACTTAAATAAAACATGATACCCTGATGCACACTTAGAATTGGGATTCAAATCTGAGAAAGTTTTCCGAAGTCGTCAGTAGTGGTGGAATCTCTTATACTCCTTGATAAGCAGTCCCGCATTGGCAGGGTTGTGTCTATAAACCACTGGTCAGTGCGTGTAGTTTTAGCTTGAGACAACTTTGAATAATGTGATTTGAAAGTAAGAAAGGTGTAAGGTAGAGAATATTATGACCATTTTCATCTATTGCATGAGGCACCGTAAAGAAAGCAGTGTCTGAACAGTTTCTCAAATTGCTGCAGCGAAATTAAACGGGTTAGCGTTATCTGCAAAGACAACGTGAGCGAGTAAGGTTGAACTTTTGAACAGCATGACGTTAGGACTCAAGGAATATATTTATTTTCGAGAAAAAAACTTGTACAGTTTATTTTATTGATTTATGTGATTGATTATTTCGACCACTTTTAAGCTTTTTTTTTTTTCTTTTTCTTTTTTTGAGGTTTGCTTGCTTCACTCAACTTTTTAGACCTCAAAATCAAGGATTTCATCAGCAACCACAGCAACAAAGTCAGGGTGAAGAGCCAAAAATTATGCAAAGGCGTTTAAAAGACTACCCAGAGTGTCATGAAGATATATTAAAGCACTGTACAAAAGGTGACCTTAAACTGGATAGTGATTTGGCTATAATTGAGTGTTTGCAAGAAATAGACTATACTGAAAGGGATCGGTTAGATGAGAAGTGTGAGAACCTTCTTTGGCAATTCAAGGTACTTTTGGGCATTATAAAGTGGGAGCTTTTGTTAAAATTTCTTTTCATCTTTTTCTTTTTTGCAAGACTATTTTACTTCAACTTGTTTTGGAAAAACATTGCTTAGAGTGTCGTTTTTACCTATGGCAGTCTCATTTTTGCCTTTTTCAGGTTAATTTGACCCAAGAGGCTCGTTTTAACGAAGCTGTGCGCAGCGTTTGTAGTGATGAGGTGGCTATGAACAGGAATTTGTCACAGTGCTTAGAAATCCAGCAGCCTGGATATTCTCTTTCCTGTGTCATCGATCATTTTCATGAGATCAAAAACAAAAATACAAAATGCTACAAGTTCCTCTGTAAGTGATTTTCACCTTTGAAAATTTAGTTTTAATTTTTTTAAATCTGGATACATTTTTTAAACAACAACTGTCTGTTAGATTTTTTCTGCGATAGACTTATGTGATATCACTATTCAGTGCTCTGGAATATTTATGACAAGATTTCAGCACGTACCGAAGTCTTAGCTTTCTCAGACTACAGTGTAATTGGCCCATTCGTTGAAAAGTGTCATGAGGCTGTGCAGAGACTTGGTTGTGGCTTACTAACGCCCATTTCCGCTCATCAGAGAGCTCGTGTAGCACATTCACAAGGTAATTAATCATTAGAGAGGAGTTTTCATTTGTTATAAAACGTACCTAAACACATATTTCTATCAACTGCAATATATTAATTATGTACAATTGTTCTGGTTTCAGGTTCAACACTGGAATGCTTAATTAAGAAAATGATACAGAGTCAGAAAGATTCTAACGACCAGTATGGTGAAAAACTATTAGGTGTTGAATGCAGACACGAAGTTATGCGAATTGCGGAACTGCAAACTGATGATTTCCATCTTGATCGGGATTTGTTCTTTGCTTGTAGACAAGACAGAGAGGTAAATGATGAGTCTTGCTCAAGCAATTGAGATTTCCTTTTTTTTTAATGATATTTTTTATTCCGTTCTAAAAGTTCTTATAGGTTTTCTGCGGTCAAGTTGCTGCTGGTGGAGGCAAAGTTTTTGAGTGTTTAATGGAGAAGAGAGCGGATCCGAGAATGTCTCCAATTGTAATTTAATTATTTAATCTGTATTTATGTTGTTCACGCTTTTTTTAAAGCAGTTTTTTTTTGCTTATAATTTTTAAAACTGTTGGAATTAACTTATTTGTGACACTGGTAGTTCAAATTAAAAAAGGAATTTTTTGCAGTGTGCCAAGCTGTTAATCGAGCGGGCTCAGTTGATGGGACAAAATTTCCGTTTAGCTCACCCATTAGTAGATGGCTGCGCTGCAGAAATGGCAAAATATCAGTGCAGTCCGCGTCGGGAGGCTGTGACTTCACCAAATTATCATTTGAGTTGGGTATTGCTCTGTTTGGAGAATGCATATCATTTTACAAATGGTACCGAATTTTCTTCTGAATGCAAGCATGAGATGATGACCCATCGGACATTTATGATGACGGAATTCAGAATGAGTCCAGAAATGGTGCTGTCTTGTGGGAGGGTAATATTTTTTATCGCGTTTTCTGGCTGAACACAAACAGTTTTTTCGACGTGTCTGAATATTATATTGTGATTTAGTATTTTCATGGAAAGTTACATCTTTGAAAGCTTTTGTTTGGTAAATTTAATGGAATATAATTGCTTTTGAAGCTTCAAATAGGCAGGATTTCAAAGCAAAGCAGTTATTTTCTCTTCTGAAGAATTTTTAATGTGTGTTCCTTACGTAGAAGAATGAAATTAATTTCGTCCAAAATATTTGTTTTTTTTTTAATTTATTTTTCTTTTTTCGTTGGTTAATATATTCTGTTTAGCACAACTTTATTTTCTAAGATTTTAAGGTTTTTTAATTATTTTTGTGGTTAATATTTTCTGCTGTTTTTTTTCAAAAATTTCTTTATCATTCTTCAGGAAATCAATCAATATTGCGGTCTAAGCGGTGACATTGAAGGTGGTGGGAAAACGCTACATTGTTTAATGTCAGTTGCTGAAAGCAGAGATCCTAAGCAGTACTTGACTTCCCAATGCAGAGCAGCTCTGGAGAATGTCCTTAAGGTTAGGAACTTACTGGCGTTTAATTGTGCCATTAATAATTTCAAGACTTAAAAAATAACTTTAAATACTGCACGCCTTTTACATTTCTATCTACTTGTTATATTTCGTTAGAGTAATTGGTTCACCGTTAGAAGAAAGGGCTAGAAGATAACACTGTTGTTGTTTTATCGCTGAATTGTTACGCCAGCTTTAAAGTTGTTTGCTTTACTTTCATCGTCTTCCTCAGTAATCTGAAAACTTGTTCAAGGTTGCTGACGTTGGTAGC